TTTCTCTGCCAACAGTTGCAATTCATCTAGGGATATTTCTGATAATCACGACAAAAATTTAATTTTTGTGAAAGATATTGAATTTCCTTCTATCAAGTTGGTTAATTTCTCTCAAGTAAATCTGTTCCACTCCACCAAATATTCTCAGGATAACACAGAGTCGAAAATATTAAAATTTTGAAAAAATTATTATCATTATTTTATTATTCATGATGAATTTGTATAAAAATTATCAATGATGGATAATCATTTTTTTTTGAAATTTTGAATTCATTTCTCTCACTAGTTTCAACCATGCCGAAAGTCTGAAATATTTCCATTCAAATCAACAATTCTGTTTTTTATTCTAATGTAGTCTACCTAACGAGACAGTCTGTGCTGACGGATTAAGGATAATTACATTTACCGAAATGCCACTCCGGCAACTTCCATCTCGCACTTGAGACAACGAAGTTATTTTTATCTATATCAACGACGCATCGTTCTCAGCTCAAACTCATCTCAAAAACTGAAGAACATCAACGGACTGCTATTTCAAAAAATATTATTCCATAAGGAAATTGAGGGAAAGAATTTCATGGAAAAACATCGAATTCGATCGAAAATTCTATATTTTTTGGCCGACAATGAATAGCCCATATTTTTCAACTCTGTTTTCTTCTCTTTTCATTGAAAAGTCAAAAGAAGAATCTTAAAAAATTTGAGCCGAGGAATTTCTATAGAAAATATTTCAATAGAACGAATTGTATAGAACGATTGAAATTCCACAATTTCTTCTATAAAATTTTTTCGTGTGTGAAATGAATGAAAGAATATCCATCAACACAGAATATTTCATTTACAAAATATTTGGCAAAACTGTTGGATTCAACACATTGGAGGCTGTGGTCACGCCTCGTTGTGCCTTCCGGTTATACCGAATTTCCCAAAATTTTGTGATTCAAACTGTGATACGCGTGCTTTTAACGTAAATATAGAAAACTCAGCAAGAAGGGCGCGTGAACGAATCACACGAGTTTTTATGTTACTCTTCCTCGAGGACACTACGGATGCCATTCTTCAAGGTCACAACAATACATGTACACACGATGATAAATATGTTTCCAGCTTTTAGTCTCTGGGTTACATAGATTTACTCTATGCGGCTGCGTGATTTATTTTCGTCCAATTCCAATTACTCCTCATACATCGCACTTTCTTCTGGGGATGTATCCACCGTTGCAGTGTTTTTAGTTCCGTTTTCATACTCAAATAAAATTCTGGTTGTGGCCGATGGATCCATTTTCCCTATTCAGTTCAACTAATTTTGGGGTTATTTCCGACGTTTTTTGCCTCCGGATGGAAGCATTGTAATCGTCCAATTTTGACATTCTCTAATTTTGATTGGAAATTATGTAGGTGGTCTGCAACGTAAAAATACGTTTGGCGAATATGTCTGTATGTGAGCATGTCCACCGCCACCTTCCCGGTGCTCAATTTTTAGAAAATTGAGCAATTAAATGGCTAACGTAATTCCAAAAAATCTGAAATTTTGTCAGATTATAAGTCTTAAGGATGGTATTGCACTCTTTTCGCCAAAATTTACGTTTTTAAAAATTTTCTGGTAAATTATTGATCGGATTGATGTGAAAAAATATACTGTTTTTGCGTTTTATCATTACTTAATGACTCGCGAAATTTCATGATCGTGCAATCGTTTTCCTGCGTTTTTTCTAAAATTTTTCGGAAATTCACAAAACTTTAGAAAAAATGCAGGGAAAATGATTGCACTACTATGAAACTGCGTGAGTCAGTCAATAATGATAAAACGCAAACACGGTATATTATTTTGCGTCAATCCGATTAATAATTTGCCGGAAAAATGAAAAAAACGTGAATTTTGGCCGAAAGGGTACATCCTTAATGAGGACTAATTCTGTGAAAAATTACAGCTCCATCGATTTGATAGTTTTTGAGAAAAAGCCATTCGTTTTTAAATCGTTTTACGCAAATATCTCCAAAACTAATGGACCCATTTCGATTTTTTTGTTTTCAAAATATTCGTTTCGATGCCTTCTATCTAAATCAATCAAAACATGTACACCCGTTCATACAAAGTTCTCGAGATATTCCCGTTTTCCGTTTTTTCGTAAAAAAAAACTTTGTAATCACTTTAGCTTGTGCAAAAATCGAGGTATCAACTTGAAATTTGAACAGAATCTTCCTCTCATGATAACATCAATCGCATCAGTATACTCAGAGAAATTTCGTCATAATATCAAAAAACTAATTTCTTGCCCCATATATCTCATCTGTTGAGGATAAATTTCTTGGGTTAAGACTTCCGGATAATGCGTCAGACAATGTCAGATTTCGGTGAAGTATTCATGAGTTGAACATGAACATTTCATGATAAAGTGAGAATTTCTTGCCACAAGAAATCGTTTTTTTCGTGTAAGAAGATGAAAAAATGACTAAAAATATTAAAACCTTCGATTCAGTAAATCATGAATCAGAAACTTTCATATTGAATGAGTGGAAAGATTATGCAGAGGAAAACCTCCAGATATTACAAATATATAACCGTCGCTTACGCTCAATCGCTTTGAGTTCGAAGGGAAGGCAATATCTTCTTTTCCTTCTGTCAAACTATTCTGTTCTTTTAAGGAATATTATCTCATTTCGAAAAAAGAGATGTCCTTTTTGTTCAGCAACTTCCTCCGTAGCCCGAACAGCACCGATTTCTTGTCTGAAACCTACCATAAATTCAGTAGCGAAGTGGTAAAAGGGTTTAAGTCGACTTATCTCCCAGTTGAGTTTTTATGAAATATTTCCGAATCTAAGGGAGATAACGAAATTTTCGTAATTATATTTGTTGTAGCTCTCAGTCAGCTCCACAAAAAGTCTATAGGGGAGGATGTACCTGTACCGCCCACCTAAGGGGATATTCCAGTTTTATATTTTATATTTCAACATGAGTATACAAAACGTATTTGTGAGACTTCTTTAACTATTGAACTCGGTATTCTCGAAGTTTAGACGCCTAATTCTCCTTAGAATCCACAAAATTCATTGAAAATAAATTCGATTCTTTTCATTATTCAACTCGCATTCTTCATTTCAGTCATCGATAAAAAAGGTAACGAGTAACGAGTAATGAGTGTTGAGGAAACAAATACTTTCTCACATTGTAACGACTACTTTCGGGACATAAAAGTAACGAGATTACACGAGAAAACTACTGAAAATCGAGTCCCCTCCACGATTACTTGACTCTGACTTTTTTCACCGTGTGGTGCTATCCTTTCATTTTATTTATTATCACAGATTGGTTGTAAGGTGGCATGATATATCCAATGTCATCCGTTTTTCGGTAATAAAAATTTATGAACGTTTTAGATGTGTGACCTTCGGTTCTAAATGCGGCAGCAGCGCGTGGCACTTTTCCTCTTTCTTCTGTTCCATCCGATATTATTATTATGTTCATCTTCTAGATGTGATTCCGAGATTTTTTTATTATCCATAAAAAAGATTTTTTTCTTCGAAAAGGATGGCTTCGTTGAAATTGCAGTATTTAAAAGTTCCTTATCCTGATGAATTGAACCGAAAAAAATGAAAGAGCATTTTTCATCGGCGCTTTGTGTAAGACTGGGGGGCTTCGTCCCCCGCTCGCTTCGCTCGTCAANCCCCCCCCCCCCCCCCGCCCCTCCCGTTCGTTCCGCCCCAATCTCCTTGGGCATGTTTGGTGGATTACACACTCTCATGTGACCCGAGCTGGGCACTATTTCATGAAACTCAAATAGAAATACAATTCCAAATGGTTCACTACGATGATATACGATTTTAAATATATTCTTCAAGTTGACTGTTTCGGTCGATCAAATAGCATTTATTTATGCCTTTTTGAAATTGAAATAAAATAGTTATTTGATATTTCATTTCACCGATACAGAAAATTAAATAGTATTTACTATTTTATTTCACTATTTCTCTGTTTGGTTTTAGATGACATTTTTTTTTTCCTACGAATATTATCCTTTTCTATGACTTATCATCTCTATTGATCTCTCGCGGTGACTTAATTGCAATGAATTACGAAGAATCGGCCGATTGAACGGATTATCGCCATTCCTCCATGGGTTATTTGCCGTGGTTATCAGTAAATACGGGACTTTAGCATTCCACATCTTGTGAAGTCACAGGATATTGTTGAATAGAATTTTGGAGGTGGTAGGATATTACATGAAAAATGCATACTTCTCATATGATAATAATTTTGTTCCTTATGTATTTTATATCTTGTAAAATTATTGTTTCTAATTATTGTTTCTTAGTTCTTATTGTTGTTTCTGTTCTAATTTCTTCTCTAGGAAAGACAAATTTTCAAGTAATAAAAAAAAATTTGAGAAAATTTTATGAATTATTTCAAACTGTCTGAATTATTTCAGTATGTTTCTTGATTGAATTATTTAAATAGTGTTTCAAATGCGCCATATTTCGTCAATTGGCAATATCAATTATTTTCAAATCAGTAGCGAAGCGGTAAACCGGGTTCAGTCGGTTTTTACTTTTGGTTAGATTTTGATTAATATCTTGGAATCTAAGAGAGATTGGCTCTACAAAAAACGTCCAGACAAAAAATTCCCTATCTCTTTTAAATTCCACTATATTCGTCAAAAACTGACCAATACTCAAAATTTTATTTGCGATGTTCAATAACTTCAAAATAGCAATTAGTGATAAATATATGAAATAGTACTTCAAATAGTATTTTGTTCGGCTCTGCATATGACCACTATATGACCCTCATGACCCTTATTTTGGCCGTCGCGAACCCTGAAAATTTTTGCCTTGTTTTAATTATAAAAATTATTATATAGAGAGAAACTTCTTTTTTCAAACATAATTCCAGGGGACAGAAACAGTGAAGTCAAAGGGTATTGAGAGTTAAATGCGGGAGGAAAATGAAGAATAGATTATAAAAAATTTTAACGCAACAATTTCTTTTTCCAATGTTACAGACAGAAGTTTTCTGGTAGCAAACGCTCAACAAGGTTTATGTCACATAATCTACTGTTCAGATGGCTTCTGCCGTCTCACGGGATATTCAAGAGCGGAGGTAATGCAGAGGCCAGCAGTATGCGATTTTCTCCATGGTCCAATGACCTCACCCCACGCGATTGCTGCACTGAGGGATGCACTACTAGCTGGAGCTGAGAAACATTTTGAAATTCTCTATTACAGGAAAGATGGTGAGTCCCAGAATATCACCCTATTTTCCAATATATCATAGTTGTCGTAGACTCAATTCACATTTATTCATACGAAAATAATAAGAGAAAAAATGGAGAAATATCTGCATAGAAATGAGCACTCATGCATTATTCATCAAGTCCTAATGAATTCCAATTATTTCCATTTCATCAAATTTTCCTGTTCGAGACAGCAGATTTCCTCGAGAAATTCTCCATTCATAATACTCCCTGGATTTTTAATTAAAAAATTCTAGAACGCAGTCCTTTACACTCAGGACTGTATGTGACGTAGTGCATTGATTAGAATGAAAAACAAACTTGTGAAAAATTCACGATGTTATCGTTATTTATCCATACGTGTATTTAATATTGCACGTGTAGTGGCTCGGAAATCCAGCTGGTCTACTGGAGTTGCATTCTTAGCCTATATAGAATGTAGTATCAACGCTAGCTGACCTTAGTTCCGTTGAGATCGATAGCCACTACTGTATAATTTATCACAGTCATAGAACCACCGAGGCCTCCTACCTTTTCTTGTCAGACCTGTCCATTATTGCGCATCGTGACCCATTCCGTCTTACTCGCTGCCTTCTTCAGTATTTTTTTTTTTACTTTTAAGAGTGAAGTCTGAACCTCCCAGGTGACTATTTCAACACATCTTCCGTCGCCCACCCTTTTTTTTCCTTTGCCCTCCAGTGGAATTTATTCACTGAAAGTCTTTGCATCGATTGAAGAATGAATGAATCATGCGGGGAGAAATTACTTACTGTACAATTCCAATGCGTATATGAATAATGAGGAAATGAAACTGATGTTGACCGTTGAGCGATGTGGCTCACCGGCAACGTGTCAGCCTACGGTGCCGGAGGTCGTGGGTTCGATCCCAGCGTCGGGCGATTTTTTTTCACAAAAAATGCCCCACGATATTCAATCGATAAAAAGAAACTCTGTGTTATCGACGATATCGACGTATGGGACCCGAATATGGGGCCTAATGGTCCTTGACGACGGATGGGGGAGGGCCTTACGGTTTCCTAAGGGGTCTGCAGGCCCAGGGGAACCACAATGCAGAAGAGATTGTGTGAAAAACAAAATTGATGTTGATGAAATCAAGAATTTCATCAATCCAGTCACATCGATTTCCCAGCTTGATTACGTCAAAGATTCCCGTGTATCGCTGCATTGAAGTGTTACGAGAACGACCACCTGTAACTCTAAACAGTTGAACGGAATTCTCGTTTACATTGAAAACACAGGCGCAGCCCACCCACAGTGTACGTCTTACTCTGTTCCATAATACCCTTTGAACTTGCAATTACGTCACACTTGTTTCCCATAAAGTCCCTGCTGAACAGTATACAGAGCCCGGAGCTATTATACTTCACTCGAAAGAAAAATGGCACGGCTAATGAAATCAACCCCGTGCGCAGAGACAAAATCAATATTCAATTAGCGGAATTTGTGAAATTATTCGAACTGCAGGCAGTTACTAGTGCGCCAGTTAGGAATTACTGCCTTGACAATTCTCGAACTTAACGGAAAGCTCTTAAAAAGCTTACGACTTGTTAAACAGATTGCGAACGGATTTCAACACTTCGGAGGCATGCATCTGTATTATCTAGGTCATTGTGGGTAAAAAGCTCGGAAGAACACTCAAAAGCTTATTGGAATAAAAAAAAGGCACAAAGCTCATTAAGAGAGCTTTGACAATTATTCTTGCAACAGTGGTGATTGTTGGTTCGATATTGTGCCTCAAGCATAGCAGAACAAAAAGCCGTCAATCTTGGAGATTGTTGGGTTTGTTTTTGAGCTTACGCATGATATTTTCGTGCTTTTCAAACATTTCCATCAATCACTCCTTTGTGCTTGCGATGAGCCATAAAAGAATCAGCTTCCGCGGGAAGGTGCCGCAAAAAATTACTGCTAACGATATGATATCTCGGGAATTGGGTCATAAAAGCTTCATGTTATGAAATGTTCAGCATTGAAAACAGTGGTAACAAATCTGCCTGTGACATGGAGATGAAACTTTATGAGTAACATTTTTATGAGCTTCTCGTGAATTTTCATGTCGACAACTTTTATCGATCAACTTTTATTAATGAGTATGTGGAACGTTTTATGAAGATCAGAATCATGACATGATAACCAAAAGGATATTTTCCGACTAGTAGATTAAAATCTCAAGCTTCAGGATAAAAAACCAAGTGATAATTTTGAAAGAGCTCTAATGTCAGTAATCACAAAGCTTGCAGTCACACGTGATATAGAGAAAGGCTAGGCGAAATATCTGAAAAAATATAAAAGAGAATAGAAAGAAATGGATAGGCGCATAGAATTCACAGTTCCAAAAAAGCTCTCATATGAAGTCATCAAGCTTCAAAATTTTGATTCATGAAAATCAGAATCATGGAATGATAAAAAAAAGGATATTGTCCGATTAGCAGATTGAAATCTGAAGCTTCTAGAGAAAAAATCGAGTGATAATTTTGAAAGCGCTCTAGTGTCAGTAGTCACAAAGCTTGCAGTCACACGTGATATAAAGAAAGGTCACATGAAATATCTGTAACAATATAAGAGGAAATAGAAAGAAGTGGATATGCGCACAGAATTCAAAGTTCCAAAAAGCTCTCATATGAATGGTCATCAAGCTTTAAAATTTTAATTCGTGAAAATCAGAATCATGACATGATAACCAAAAGGATATTTTCCGATTAGCACATTGAAATCTCAAGCTTTAGGAGAAAAAACTAAGTGATAACTTTGAAAAAACTCTAGTGTCAGTATTCACAAAGCTTGCACTCATACATGATATAAAGAAAGGTCGCATAATATCTGAAAAAATACAAGAGAGAATAGAAAAAAGTAGATATGCGCCTAGAATTCACAGTTCGATTAAAGCTCTCATATGAATAGTCATCAAACTTCAATAATTTGAATCATGAAAATCAGAATCATGATATGATAACCAAAGGAATATCCCCAGATGAACAAATTTGAAGTTGCAACCAAAAAAGTTATTGAAAAAGCTCCAGTACTAATATCTACAAACCCCAATACCTCCCCACAAAATCGAAAAAAAAATCCTCAAAAAAATCGTCCATTCGAATGTGAAACTCAGTCTATTCAACTTCACCGGAAAGCTCACACCAAACGAACAAAAAAAAGGCTACAAGGGGCAGAGAGTAGTGGGGGAGGGCGATGAAGGGGAGCAGGGGGATGAAGGTGCGCACAGAATAGAGCTTGCAAGCAGTCACAATTGGAAAAGAGGGCAACACGCGCTCTGGCTGCCTATTTCCGAGCTTCACGCCTTCCATCTCCCTCTCCCCCTCTCAGTTCTGAGCCTCGTTCACACACACACACACACCGGGGGAGAGCTTGATAGCACAGCCCCGACACGTCACTGGGGCAATGCACTCACGTGGTAGTGACGTCACGAGACCGAAGGAGAGGAGCAGAGCGTCATCGACCAATTGGGTGGGTGAAGCCGCAGCCGTTGACCTATACTACTAAAGCAACCAAAGCCGACCCGTTTTCTACTCTGTGACCTCGTAGGTTGGCTGTACCGCTACCACCACTTTATCCTATCATCCATAAATTCAGGGTCTCATCTTTTTCACTCTTCACTCTGACCCCCCCCCCCCCCCCCCCCCCCCCCCCCCCCCCCCCCCCCNCTCCGCATCTCCCTCCACGGGCCTGTCTATTCTTTTAATTCAAATCATCATGCATTTCATACCTGGCAAGCATCCCACGCACTCACCGAATCGACTACTACGCGATGTATTTTTGTATGAAAACCACCTAGAGACATTTTGGACAAAAGCCAAAATGTCGAAGTATCTTTCTGTACGTGTGTACACATGCACATCGCACCCGTTACAATGGAAGTGGTGAGGGTGGTATACGTCGGTTACATCGATAAGCAGCTTTTACATTTTTTTTCCGCCTCATGGTTCTCTTCTACCTTTACTTACCGCGTGAACATTTAAGCCGATTATACGGCACATAAGCAGATTATTAATGAGAGGAGACGCTACTGTGGTGGCGGGTGATTATCGACGCATGTGGGAAAAAATTCCAAATTAAAGGGGATTTCTTGGAAGCCGGTAGAGGACGATGAGTGAAGGTCATATTCGGCATAATTAATTTTCATCTAAATTATTTTCTGATTGCGCGCAGCACTGGAAAGCACAGGGCAACCTGTGTCGATAGAATCGGTTGCTGCATTGCCGACCTCTCGCTGGTCAGGGCCTCAGGTCCGGAAGTTCTCCTCCATCTGAAACTTGATTTGTCATGTAACGGCAATCGTTATCACAAAATTGTCCATCACTCATTCAATTTTTTCAAGTCATTAGAAAGGGATCTAAAATCTCCCGCCATCAATGTCACCACCAGTTCAAATGGAAAAATCCCTAGATTTTGGTGGTTCCTTTGTGTTACTGTTATCGGGAGGAGAAAAAGGAGCATCGGCCAGGAGTTTCTTGGGCGTCGACACAGCTAGCTCAACAACCCAATGTTCTATACCTCCCCCTCACCCCCTCCCCCCAACCCCCGCCGCCCGTCGTGGTTCCGACTACCATTTTCGGATCGATGAACGGTGCACCTAGCCTTTCCACACCGCAGCCTCCCTTTGCCAGCAACTATTCCGCTCCGCCTACAATCCACTGCACCCTAACCAGGTACATTCACCCTTGATCCTCTTCCCCTCTTTCCCTCAACTCTTTACGCCTCCTTTCATGCGATCTATTTATAATACTCGTTGGATCTAGCTTTCACCCCTCGAAGGAACTCCAAACACAAACATTGGATTCATTGTGAGAGGCTTGAGTGACCTTGATATGCCCTTGGGTGAAATTTTGAGGGAATTGATTGGGAACAAAATATTTCACTTCAGGTAGTGGTACTTGTTGGTAGTGGGCGACGGATTCGAGGAGCCTGAGAATGTGCTCATGTTCAATAATAATCGATTACGTCTGAAGATTCTTGTGTTAAAAAGGCCCTCGAGTGGTCTTTGTTCTGCCTGAAGTACCTGTAATAGCTGCAAATATTGGAATGAGGTGAGAGCTGCCTCAAGGAGATAGTAATTACTAATTCTACGAATAAATATTCACTCACTTGAAAATCGATGATTAATTATCGGTAATAGTTTCAAGTTCAGAACAATTATGCGAATAATCGTTATTATTTTTACTGGAATAAATGAAAAACGTGGGGTACGTCATTTGGTAGCATTAATTCAACCATCTTGGCACATTCTCAAGGCACAAGAATCAACTTAACCGAAAAAAAAGGGCCAACTACAGGGTAGAAGGGCATGCGTGATCTAGAAACGTAAATAATGTGAACGGCAAATCGTGTTGAGATCGATAAAAAACCTGGCCAGTCCATTTACTCAAGAATAAAGGTCGTCATTCAGTATTATACATTCATCTGCTCATGCTTCGTGCAATGTATGATACATTGTTGTGAAATGTCGATCGACCGGAAATTTTTTCCCAACGACGTTCATTGTTCTGTTTATCTATCCTCCTTCGGCCAATGTCCGGTGTTTCATATCCTATTTTTACTACTCTCGCTTATTATCCGTTGATGATTACTTGTGAAAAGTGATAGCTTGTTTGGAAGGGGCAAATAATGACGACGAAATGTTTGAGACATGTCTATTTTTTGTCTGTTCATAACTTCTAAATTTGACAGTTTATGATGTAAAAGCTCTCTCCTATTACTAGAACACAACCTTAGCCTTGCAAAGGTCAATTCAATGATGACATTCATCCTAGATTCGTGGATTGTAGTTTGGCATTTGTTAGTGATGATTTTTCCCAGGCACCAACTTCTTGTGCAGCGAGGTCATCGCACCGATAAGAAGCGATGTAGACGACATTTGTCTGCAGATAATCATCAACTGGCAGTCATCTATTATCCGTTAATGATTGTTTCTGAAAAGTGATAGCTTCTTCGGGAAGGGTAAATAATGAACGTAATGTTTGAAATATATGTATTTTTCGCCTGTTCACAACTTCAAAATTTGACAGTTTATGATGTAAAAGCTCTCTCCTATTACTCGAACACAACCTTAGCCTTGCAAAGGTCCATTCAATGATGGCATTCATCTTAGATTCGTGGATTGTAGTTTGGCATTTGTTAGTGATGATTTTTCCCAGGCACCAACTTCTTGTGCAGCGAGGTAGACGACATTTGTCTGCAGATAATCATCAGCTGACAGTCGTCTATTATCCGTTAATGATTGTTTCTGAAAAGTGATAGCTTCTTCGGGAAGGGCAAATAATGACAATGTAATGTTTGAAATATATGTATTTTTCGCCTGTTCATAACTTCAAAATTTGACAGTTTATGATGTAAAAGCTCTCTCCTATTACTCGAACACAACCTTAGCCTTGCAAAGGCCAATTCAATGATGACATTCATCCTAGATTCGTGGATTGAAGTGTGACATTTGTTATTGATGATTTTTCCCAGGCACCAAGTTCTTGTGCAAGCGAGGTCATCGCGCCGATAAGAAGCGATGTAGACGACATTTGTCTGCAGATAATCATCAGCTGACAGTCGCCTATTGTCCGTTGATTATTGCTTCTAAAATGTGATAGTTTGTTCGAAAGGGGCAAATAACGACAACGAAATGTTTGAGACATGTCTATTTTTCGCCTGTTCATAACTTCTAAAGTTGACAGTTTATGATGTGAAAGCTCTCTCCTATTACTAGAACACAACCTTAGCCTTGCAAAAGGTCAATTCAATGATGACATTCATCCTAGATTCGTGGATTGTAGTTTGACATTTGTTATTGATGATTTTTCCCAGGCACCAAGTTCTTGTGCAGCGAGGTCATCGCGCCGATAAGAAGCGAGGTAGACGACATATGTCTGCAGATAATCAACTTCGAAGATCTCAGCGCACAGCCAACTCCACCACCAGCCGTACCAGCGCCGAGTCCTGCCAACAACAGGCTAGTAACTCGATGTAAGTACAGATCATTCTTTTAATTTCCTTATAATAATAGTTGCATCGAAGTACTCCATTCGTCATCGTGAGGTGTGACATGTCATCCTTCAAGTGGTCCAGCCATTTTTCACAAAACTTCATATCAAATTCATTGATAAATGGCTATTTATGATCAAAGACGTTGAATTTCCTCAAAGAAAAAGGATCATACGTGAAAAAGAAAATTGGCGAGAATGATTGCGTTGTCTCCAGAAAAGTTTCCTCGAGACCAACTGGAAGCCAAAAATCCAGGGGCAAGAGTCCGCGAGTCGTTTTATTTTCCTCTAAAAGCATCTCCTCAGAATCCCGATGTCATCAGACATCAAAACCCCAAATCTCTTGCACTAGTTATCCATCTTATTTTCGTAAAATGATTTTGACGTTGAAATTGTGACCTTAACCTGTACGAAAGCGACACGTACACCAGAATCAATGTCACAAAGAAGGAATTCATCACCACTTGACCCCGACGTCAAATATCGTATATACAAGCCCTTGATGAGTGAACTAGGTTAGGTCAATCGTCATAACATGAGAATCCTCAAACAATTGAGGTTAGACATCACCGCATAATGTGGCCGGCAACTATTGCAGCAATGAGCTTCTCATTCTCACTGTCTCACTCACACTAATCCTTCTGACGACGGTAACAACTGATGCTTGACGAAGGTAGGAAGCTCACAGAGCTTCACAGAGTCGATCAGGGTTAGGTGGCCAGGTGGGTGGATAAACTGGCCACGTCAACATCCGTGCACATCGTTTTGTATCTGGAGTATATAATCGTACACATAGATACAAACGTTAATATCTATTTTTAGATTGGCTTGCCGCGCCACAACGTCGGACCAGCCGGTTAGAAGCGCGTCTCAACTGTTAACCCTGACCTGGTAATAAAGGTTTACCCGCGTTTTCGAAACCGATGGGAAATCGGGCGACTGCTGGACGCCTGTTAAGTCCATTTAATGGAGACAATTTGGGGGGGGGGGAGTTGTACAAACTAACAATAACGCCCACTGCATCATCGACTTGTGATGTTGCTTCTTTTTTGGTCCTGGTGCATGTGCATTTTCTGCAGCAGCACAACTGGATCGTCAATCTTCTCGGACATTATATTTCTAGGTTAATCTCCTGGTTTGAGGTTATGAACAGTTATTTTGCCTCCATAAAATTTCTATCGTACTCCACATGGGGGTTCCGTATAGGTGCAGCTGAGATCTTGTCAAACCCACGCTGATCTATTATCGCCGACGAAAAGCTCGGGGCTTTCCGAAAGATTGAGTGACAAGTCAATCTTTTGGGAGAATTCGTTCGACACCTCGTGCTCTTCGAGGAATGGATTTTATTGATGCCCACAGGATACTGTACGCTAGGCCAAATCTGATCATTATTGGTGAATGGCAAATACATCGCACGTCTTTTTTTATCCCAAGCAGAGTGAGAGACATGGGTCTAAAGAAAGATTAGTTACGGGCCGAGCTCTGATTTCTTGGACTGGTCAGTGTCTGATCGTTCACCTCGGGGTGATGAATTCATTGATCGCACATTTTATATGTCAAGCTTTGTACGTTTGTGTAATTGATATTTCTATGGGAGCAGAGCCACGTCCATCGATCAACAATGTCGATGTCAGGTATTTGATCGACGATTTTTCAGTAGCATCAGTCACTTGAAGAAAATATATCCTGAAATCTTCAGCATTTAATATTCATTTATGTCAAAGTTATGATTTTTTTACTGAGTTATGAGATAATAAATTTTTATCGTTCATAAATCCTTCCTCATCAGAACGAAATTCACTAACGGTTCTCCATTCAAAAGAGAATCATAAATCCATTGCCATCTATTACACAAAAGTTTTGAAAACTTTTTCAACCAAAACATTTTTCCAAAAATTACCTATTGCCAACAGGTGTTTAACCACACATAGAAGCCAGAACAAAAAATTCTGATCTGAGACGTGAAACTAGTCAAAATTCTCCACAGCCGGAAAGCGAAAACGAATCTGTTTGACATTGAAAAATAATTCAAAAAAGAATCATAAGTCCACTGCCATCTATTACAAAAATGATTCGAAAACTTTTTAAACCAAAACAATTACAGAAAAATTTTACCTTTTCCCGACAGGTGTTCAAGCACACACAGAAGCAAGAAAAAAAATTCAAATCTGAGAGGTGAAAGTAGTCGAAATTCTCAACTTTCGACAACTTTTTGAATCAAAATAGTTATAAAAAAATTTCCACCTATTGCCCACAGAACCAAGAACAAAAAATTCTGACCTAAGCCGTGAAAATAGTCAAAGTTCTGCGTAACCGAAAAGCCAAAACAAGTCTCTCTGGCATTGAAAATTAATTGAAAAGCCTATTACCTAGAATTTATCGTAACATTTATTCTTAATCAATGCAGTCGATCGAGCGAGGGCATCATTCCGCGCTGGTCTATCAAGAACCGGTGTTGTTGGACCACCGAGAGTGAGGAACAGACCACGTGCGCCATCAACAGTGCCTCAGCCGCGTCACCTGCCCGACGGGACCATTCTAGATGAAGATGCCTCCGAAAATTGGTGAGTTGCAATAATTCATTCAATTGCTCCAAATTCCGTCCCTCATAAACCGGATATTTAGTCCATATCAATAAATAAGCCTCTAAATGCCGATATATTGATTTGCCATCGAAATAAAGATGACAAAAAATATTATAAAAGAAGACCTCGTGCTTGTCTCCGTGACTCTTGGATTGTCGTAAGTCCTTCCGTGTCGATGGAAGGGGGAAGGTATGGACGATGGAAATTCACGTTATATCGTGCCAAGGAGTCTCGTTCCAAGTTGTAATAAACCGATTTCTTTCTGTGAAATAAGATCGAGAGGGCGAAAAATCGGAGAAAACGTTGTCTTCAGGAATATGTATGAGCAGTATTTTTTCCAAGTGCGCTATCTCCTAGAATTTATTTTTTTATTTACCTCTACTAGACTTACGCTCCACCCTTTAATTTTCCAACTCACGCACGTGCAGATAAGCTGCGGAATTTTAAACAGAATCGGCCAAAGACTAATAGAAAATTCAAGAGAAGTCCAACAAAATTTCCTAGTGAATTCGCTGGGTCTTTTTTCGCTGTGAAATTTTTGTCGTACGTGTTATGTTATTTTGTTCTGAGGATCTCACGAAGAAAGATAGGACAAATAACGGTAGTGACCCATCGGTAGTCACCCCCGACATTCTGTTGACATCACTAACAATAATGAAACCCCTTCCTTCCCTCCAACAGTGAAACTGAATTAATCCGCATTTCTCCTTCCTCAATCACTCACCGACTTTCCGATTTGACCGGCCGTCAATAAAGCCGGAGCAACCTCAAAAACCTCCAGGGAAATTAACCCCCGATGACCACGCCACATGATTAAAAACCATTTTCCAGAATATTGAATTCAACCGGAAATGAAAAAAAAACATTGCGACGGAATAGTTCGCGATGGGTAAAATTCAGCGATCTGCCAACTGGGTTAGGTTATGGTTCCAAGAAACTAACAAACGTTGAAACATTTCACCAGGGGAAATCACGCGACATGAGTGAACAAATGGGAGACCCTGAAGAGTAACACGCCGGATGTCGTGGGGATGTAGGGGACAGTCCGAAGGGTTGGATGACACAAACATACACTATTTTATAGTATATATCACAATGCGGCCGCTTCAAGGTCTTAAAAACCTGCACGCGATTGTAGTAACTACAAATCAAATGGAAAAAATTTACCCCTTCATTCTCAGATATTCCAACAATCGTATGACAACAATAATGCGAGTGTAACTGAAAAAAGCTAAGAAAACATTTGAAAGTTTCATTAAAATTGTTCTGTGTTCAGGGTTACGGAGTTGTGAGGAAAGGGAAGGAAACAAAGAAATTGTTTTACCACTGCAGTTGTTAAACTCACGTTCGTATAACACGTCATATCGTTATATATCGATTGGTGGCAAAGTCTGACCTAACACTGACATACTTGGGGGGATTTCGAGGCCAGCTGACCCTCCGACCTCCTGTCGTCCGTCTATCGATCAATTTGTAGTTTGCCGTTGATTTTCCGTGACACTATCCGTAACTGTGACAGGTCTTTCTTGTAATCAATTGAATGGTCGAGGGAGTTTGAGGAGTTTCCATGGGTTTTTTAAAGGGGGAGTCATTTAGAGATGATTAATGTTAGGATTTTACCATTTGAAATTTTGGTATTTCCATAATTTTCGAACTATCCGTGGCTGACGCCAGAGCTCGTTTCGAATTCACTCGCGTCTGTTCGTAAGAGAATGAGAGAATGCGCTGTTTACACAGTGACAAGATTATGATGATTTACTTCCAATACTGTTGGAATTATTCGAAAGTTACTCAGTTCATGGGCTTCTCCCATCTTTTATTATTTTACTAGTACGACGACGCGCTTCGCGCGCCTCTATGACGTGGGAATAGACGGATGAGATGATAAAGTCATCATTGATCAATTTGTAATTTGCCGTTGGGTTTCCGTGACACTACAGTGAGAACAAAAATTTCTAATATCTGAAACATATTTTCTTGAGAGAAGTAAATTATTTTCAATGGCTTAAATCCCAGAATGTGTGCACTTCACGGAACTCGAATAAATTTTCATTCATCACTATCGTTCCGCGTTATGTCATGAATATTTTACATATTGCAATATTGGAAGTGCATAATGAAAAAATCATGAAAACAATAAAGACTAGAAGATTGACGATTCTTCTACGCGATTTAAGTACACTGATAGAATGATTCATTTATTCCAAACGAAATTCGTTAACTATTAACGAATGGTAGAGTTGAATATGACCAAATGAATATTCGTTAATAGTTAACGAATGGTTCACTTGAATGGCGAAAGTCAAGTCAAACAAGGCTCCTCAAATATACATTCGTTAACTATTAACGAATGAACATTTGGTGGGACCGAATAGACCCTAACCTCCAACCAAAACCCATTCGTTAACAATAACTAATCCGTTCTATCAGTGTAAGTTCATTTGCGACAAAACCATACTTGAGTGCAAGAATATTTAAAGCATGAGACCTTTCTCGGGTCATGTGAGTTGAGATGCCTGAGAAAATTAAGGAATTGAAGAAAATTTACTTGTCTCAAGAAAATATGTTTTAGATATTAGGAAATTTTTCTCTCAGTGTATCCGTAACTGTGACAGGTCTTTCTTGTAATCAATTGAATGGTCGAGGGAGTTTGAGGAATTTCCATGGGACGGATGAGATGATAGTTATCATTGATCAATTTTGTAATAGATCTTTTCATCCTGAGAGTAACTAGATTTTCAGACACTTTTTTCCCACGTTAATTCTCGTAAGAGTTTCGGACACTGTTACGAAATTTATATATCAATCATAATTTTTGAGAACTCAAATCTATATCATCTTGAATGTCAATATTTGTCCGAATTTTTCATCATTTTTCCTCACTTCCTCAGTTCGATGAAGAAAATAAATATTTTCTTTAGATTTCCAGAATGAAAAGGTCTATTTGCCGTTCGGTTTCCGTGACGCTATCCGTAACTGTGGCAGGTCTTTCATGCAGTCAATTAGCTGGTTTAGAGAATTTAAGGAGTTTTATTGTTTTTTTTTTAAGTGAGAGTCATTTAGAGATGAGTAACGTTATAATTCGATCATTCAAAATATTGACATTTCGAATAAAAAATAATGATTCACCTCCAACATTCTTGGAGTGATTTGAAATTTACTCAGTCCATATCCATTTCCGTAATTTTTCATTATTTTCCTAGCCCCACGGCGCGCTTTGCGCGCCTCTACGACGTGAGAATAGACAAATGAGACGATACCCTCAATTTTTCAAATTCCCCTGCATAACTCGAATTTTATATCATACAATGCAGTAATAATTCTTGCCTTTCAGTCCACTGACGTCGGGATCCTCCACAATGGTGGAATCCTGGGGATCAGCGAGGATAGGTACACCACCACCATCAGGTGCCCCTGCAGGACCACCTCTGCCCATAAGCACAAGTACCTGCGGAGTTTCCGGAGGTCTCGTAACCATGCCACCTGCAAGACCTAGTCCAACGTGCGTACCAACAGCTGCTCCTATCGCGAGTCCTGAAGGCGTAAGCGACGTTAGTACTTTAATTGATGTTCACGTTCATTAGTGATGCTGTAAGAAAACGCGAGATCAGAATTCCAATTCTTTTGTCTTCTCTTGCTTCACTTGCTCTCTTACAGCATCACTAATGTTCATTTAAAAAATAAAATTAAATTGCTCTTTTCTTAACTCTTTGACTCGCAAATCACACGAAACCGTATCGGTGTGATGGCTGCCAATCACAGCGCGCCGCGCGATGAGTCAGGGAGAGATGGTCACGTGACTATTCCCTCACTCCTGTTGCGTCAGGACCGTTGTAGGTATTGCAAAGCTATCGGGGCCCTCTGCATATTCTCGCGTAATACGTAATAGAAGTTTTGTTAGAAGACTGTTAAAAAAAAAATCAAATTTCATAGACAGTTTATTACCAATTTTCAGGACAGTGACACTGAATGCCATTTAGAGTAAAAAAAATCATGATATTTCAGGTTTCATTGAAAATTCAGTAAAATTCTAGAATTTCAAGCGACATAAAGACGAGAATTCCTCAATTTATTCGAATTTCCAATCTAATATGAATATCCAGTATCAAATTACATTGAATTTTCAGTGAAATCTGCAATTTTATAATTTTTTCCCCCTAAATCGCATTTAGTGCCACTGTCCTGAAAATTCAAGAATATATTTACCAGAATCTTTTGTTTTTTTATTCATTTTCAGGGAAAAATGGAACTAAAATTTACAGTTCTGTTTGATTTTTCCATAAAATTCTGAATTTTCAATGACAAGATTTCATGAAATTTCAGTGGAACTTGAATACGATAAAAATTTCTGGAATTTGGCACAGAAAATTCGGACGAAAATTTTTAACAGTGTAGCCAACAAATAATGAGACAAAAAAAGAAAAAATGTCTGTGATAAAGAGTCAGTGCCTAAAAAAAGAAAAAAAGAATGAAGGTTTATTGAAAAGTGTATGTGGAAGTCCTGGAAAATACGTGAAACACAGAAAGATATCTTCAAATTTTGAAATGAATCCAGATGATTTTTCAGCAAAGAAAAAGAAAAAAATTGATGAAAATCTAGAACGAAAATGGTCTTCAAATATTGAGAATTATCCAGTGCAACCATTTGTTGAAAAGGTCCTGTTCATGATTGAGAGATTGACAGCAATAAGATGTCTTATTTCAAATTGCTTCTTCTCTTCCTTAAATTAGCTTCATCCTATCTACCAATAAATTCCTTTAAAATTTTTTTCTATTTAGGACTCATGTATTCAAACGTGCGCTTAGTGCTACGGCACTGTTCGCGCGTTCGCTACTCATTTCCTTCCGAAGGTCCGGCCCCCACAGGTAGTGGGGGTACGAATGCCGGTCTGAGGGTTAAATTATCTACATCGACGCCTTTTCTGGGACCTAGTTATGAAATGACGATAAAAAACAGGTTTTCCTCGTTTCTCATCATCCATCAGCTTTCTGATCAATCGCTCAATATCCGATTTACTACCATCAACATGATACCGTAATGGTCGTCCCAGTGAATTCAGTAGGTCATCTGCGGGTGTATACATGCCACCCATGTAATGAAATTAAACGACGCGCCTGGGATGCGATAATCCTCCAGTCGATTTCATCTCCAGTAACATATATCTTAATGTGTCTCTGCAGACTCCTGCTCCAATTCTTCCTCATCCATCATCCAACCATAGCCAACGTATTTCATCTTGCATTTGTCCTTTCGATTATTTTTTTTTTTCATTTTCACAGACTTTTTTTCTTTGACGCTTTTGTAACTTTTAATTATTTTCAATTCACGGGTTTTTTTCCTCCTTCCCGATGATAAAACCACTGAACTTTCAATTTCCGGAGGATCTTCCGTGACATTTCCACGGAGTTTGTTTGCTGTGGAATTGAGAAACGTTTTGTTGATGTTTACATTGAAACGTTATTAAAAGTTTTATCTCATACTTCTCGCTTCTATCTTGCAACTCAGTGGATTTATCTTCTTCTTATTGTGTATTGGTTCTGGCGTTGTGGAGTATTGATATCGTCTCCACAAAATTAAATGAACGTATATAATGGAAGAGAATATTCGAGAAACGAAACGTTTCCATCTGGCATTTAGCGAATACCAGGGAGGAACAATAATATTAGATTTTGACAATATTAAAGAGGGATTATCTCCTTATATTGTTCAAAGTTCAACTATATTTAACAAATTTAAAATATAAAATTTCTTAATTAAATTTTCCGATTGATGGTGAATAAAATATTTGATAATATTGAAATGTAATTTTGAGTTAACAAGCTAATTCTCAATTTAGGTACTTGATTTTCGATTACCTAAATCATTGAAATCGTTGAAATAATCATCAATCTTCCTGCCTAAATTATTGGTTGATAGAATATTTCGAAATTTAAATGTACAAATTGATGGTTAATTTAACATTTAAAATTTTAATATTTATTTCAAAAATTGACAACCTCACAGTTTAACGGCAATTATGATTGATTGATGTGCCTAGCACTGGCGAATACAAAGATGAAAAAAATCATGACATATTCCTGCACCTTCCACACCCGTACGTAAAGTGCCAGTTTACGGACTCTCTTTCGTTTACCGTCGGAATTTCCCGACAATCTCAATAGTGTTCAATTAGATCGTGGGTGAATCAATTACAGCTTGTTATTTTATTCATATCGGCATCTAAAAAGCTACATTCATGTGAATAGCAGACAAGTTCATATTTGTCAGTATTATTACGTGTGTCTGAAGAGGAATATGTTCATTCAATGATCAATGCGGTATTCATAAATGATTATTCAGTAATGAGGAATTAGTTGACAATTTTTCAATGGGTATATTTGCAATCACCGGATTTTGCAGAGTGGCAATTTTCGATGATGATGAGGAATAGTGACGATGATTTGAATTTTCATCAGTGTCGGGAATTTTTTTGTATGAAAATATCAGGGAGTAGAGTATTCAACTCAACTTGACTAAAAAAGTTGGTGCAATAAATTAATGATTCTCCATAACGAAAAATAAACAGTTACAAAAAATTCATGCTTCGGAAACATTTAATTATCATTGAACAAAAAAATATTTTTGAAAAAAAGGAGAGGCCTAAAAAAAGCGCATTCATGATAAATTCGATTTATCTTTGTCAATAAAAAATGAACGACGTGATTTCTATTCAGTGAATTTCACAAAAAAAATGCTAATAAAATCATTTTTTTTCTTCGTCGAAGAGACTGATATCAGTGCACTGAGAGAAAAACGACAAAGTTCTCGACAAGTCTTACTTGTGTCAGAAAAATAGTTTTTTGAAAATTATGAAAAAGGAATTTTTTTGTGCCAAACATGCAAAGAGTGCGCCGGAATGAAAAATTGCTGTCGCAAAAATAGATTTAGTAGTTAAAAAAAAATGAATTCTTTGCACACGCAAGAATATGTCATTTCTAGCACTACTCCTTCGTTATTCGCTACTCCCATACGTATGTTGCTCCCGAAAAATCTTTGTTTCATGCGAAACAAGGGATAGTAGTTTTCCGTTTCGGCTGTCTAATAATCACAGACAAGAAATGAACACTTAAATGAAACAATAATAATGATATGATAGCAATCTTGTAAATTAGGGATAAAATATTAGTTGATAAATTTTCCTCTATATGAGATATTTTCATCCTGAAAAGGCACCGTCTGGTGTGAATTATCCGCTTCTTCAGCCAAATATTTCGTTGCTATCGAAAGCAGAACAATTATTCATGTTTGAGACTTTCAAATTCGATCCAAACAAATTCGTTTTTGGCAATTTTCAACTAGCCATTTTGTTGGCCCAAGCAAGACTTGTTTGACAACATGTTTGTTTTTCTCTCAAAGTGCAGTTACAGAAAATTCATGCATCGGAAACATTTACTTATCCTTGAACAAAAAATTATTTTTGAAAAAAAGGAGGAATTTCACAAAAAAATGACACATGGTTTTTCGTCATTCCAGGTATCACCGAAATCAGGAATTTGGGAGGGTCAACATACATCTCCAGGGAACGGCAATGACGAACCATCGAGAAGTGTATCACACGCAGCCAGTCTGGATGCAATATCAAAGCGAATGGTCAAATCCGACATGGCCAAAATACCCTGTAGAAGTCTAACATGCAGTGTCTGTAAGTTATTAGTCCCTCGCCTGCATCAAATATTATCTAACGTTGATTGACGTCTTAGTTACCAAATTGTACCCCTCTGACATGTCTGACAATGCTGGGTTTGTGATCGTTCAGTGATGTGTTTCCTGGTCGTCACACCCCCACCCACCCACCCGCCCATTTATATTTATATAAATTATTTTTCCTTGTGTTTTTAGGTGTCGTATTCGATGTCACCTCTTGTTTGATCCTTGAGTATTCATGATTGTTATTGATGTTTTGAATTCATGTTGAAGTTCATTAATCCTTGTTTTCATTCGCAAAATAATATTTTTTGTGATAAGAATCCTTTGGAATTGTCCAGCACTTGTTGCAACTCGAATTCGTTTTTTATTTGCATTTGTAGTTTATTGTTGATGTGCGTTATTGGGGAGATCTGCAGAATGAAAATAAATTTTCGTATCATTGAGAGGCCTCAATGAGAGAGGGAAAAATTTGGCGCCGTGAACACTGAGAGAGAAAAAATTGTTCTGCCAAAATGGGAAAAGCTTGAGAGAATTTCAGGGAGTGGAGTAGATTTACTTGAGGGAAATTAACCAGCTTGATAGGAGGCAATTTAATATCTTTCACAAAAATTAAATTTGGTGAAAACTTTTCTTTGTCCACAAGTAAATTGATTCAACACGACAAAACGACAGAACTAGTTTTTTCTCCCAGTGAATTCTCAGCCAAAAGAGCGTGGAAAAATCGGAAAAATGGCTTGAACCATTTATTCATTTTATATGAATCGGCTGCCGTGAGTTGGGGATTATTTGAAGAGGACAAATAGCTATAAGAAATGTTTGAAAATACGAGGTGGGGCGCCGCCATCTTTGGAACTTCTTGTGAAAGAGGGAGGGGGTATGAGGCAAGATGGCGGTGCTCATCTGTCAACCACCTCGTATTCTTTAACTTTTTTTGAAATTATTTATTCTCGTCAGATCATCTTCAACCCGTTTCATCCGTTTCTTAAAAAATGAACAAATTTTTCAAGCCATTTTTTAGATTTTTTCATTACCCCTTGGCTCAGAATTCATGGCCCAGAGTTTTCCCCGCATTTCACCAGCTGTTCTTAACTCTCGAGACTTTAAAAAAATGTGATTTTAATAAAATTGAAAAACGAAATTCCCAGGTAATCTAGGGAACATGAAATTTGGACGATTTGGGCTTTGCAGAATTATTTTGACCCAACTTTTAAGGACAATTTTTGTGGCGCATACGACATTTTCCACAAATCTTTCTTCAATAGTGGAAAAATGAAAAAAATCTTTTCGCTATTTTCTCTTCATTTTTCTGATATTCGGTTGTACTTTTAGAGAAATTTCTATTGGAAAAAAATTTGTGGAAAAAGCTCGCATGCGCCAAAAAATTTTTTTCCAGATTTCATGTTCCCTAGATTAGATTTATACGACTGTTTTCCACTTCGTTGACCTAAAAATTCAAAAATGGTCAATACGATGTTTTTCCATTTAGCACGCAATATAAGAAGACTCTAAAAATGAAAGTAATCACCCGTTCATGTGATTCACAAGCAGAATCATAATTTAGAATTTTCAAAATTTTATTCTTGAGAGCTTATAAATTTATAATATATGGTAATCAGTCCCGTAGTTCTGATAGGATCTCCTTAATAAGTACAACGTACCTTTATATTCCAACTCCGTGAGATGGAAAAGCTCCGAAGAAATATTTCAAACTTTTAAACCCGTGCAATACTTCAGGAAATGAAAAATGAAAAAAAAACGAAACACGGGAAGACTCTGGAAACACAGAATCCCTAGGTGACTTCGAATCGATGATCAATTCAACAATGAAAAATTCAATTCGAACATTGTGATAAATTTACTGATGAATTACTTGTACTGAGAGATTTGAAAAATCTGAGATGTAAAATATTTTAGTAGCGGGTCGAGGGAGTGAATACGTGAGCGGCCTTGAGCGATGGCCAGCGACGGTCGATAATATCATGGAAGGTAAAAAATTCAAGCGAAAAAAAATTCTAGAGCAGAAAAAAAGACAAATTAAATTTGATTGAAATAATATCACGCAGAAATTGAGATGAAATTTTATTGCGAAAACAAGCTTTGGGGGGCGGGAATTTTTTTTAACCCACTTTTATTTTACATTAACAATCGTTGATAAGTGAGCGATCGGCATTGCCGACAGTCACTTGCACAATTTCTGTTTTACTGAGAACAGAGAATTCACTTGTTACGGCTTATTCACACGAGCGGGCGCTACAGTCTTTCCGGCGAAGAAAAAAAATGATTTTGTTTGAATTTTTTTTTGTGAAATTCATTGAACAGAAATCATCGCGTTGTTTATTTTTTATTGACAAAGATAAATCGAATTTATCATGAATGCGCTTTTTTAGGCCTCTCCTTTTTTTCAAAAATAATTTTTTGTTCAATGATAATTAAATGTTTCCGATGCATGATTTTTTTGTAACTGTTTATTTTTCGTTATGGAGAATCATTAATTTATTGCACCAACTTTTTCATTCAAGTTGAGTTGAATATTCTACTTCCTGATATTTTCATACAAAAAAATTCCCGACACTGATGGGAATTCAAATCATCTTTACTATTCGTCATCATCATCGAAAATTATCACTCTGAAAAATTCGGTGATTGTAAATATACCCATTAAAAAATCGTCACTTAATTCCTCATTACTGAATAATCATTTATAAATACCGCATTGATCATTGAACGAACATATTCCTCTTCAGACACACGTAATAATACTGACAAATAGGAACTTGTCTTCTATTCACATGAATGCAGCTTATTAGATGCCGATATGAATAAAATAACAAGCAATAACTGATTCACTCACGATCTAATTCAACACTGTTGAGGTTGTTGGAGAATTCCAACGGTAAACGGAAGAGAGTCCGTAAAATGGCACTTTACGTGCGGATGTGAAAGAGAAATGAATATTTTTTGTTTTTAAGGTCAAAATTGGGTTCCACGGGGAATCGAACTCACAACCTTTCGCACACTAGACTTGCGTCTAGTCCATTCGGTCACCGACGTCGGTAAAAAAAAAGAGAATATTTCATGATTTTTTTTTCCATCCTTGTATTCGCTAAATCACATCAAATCATAATTTGTTCGTCAATACTCTCCAACAGCCTCACGATGAATCTATAGCATCAATGTACTTTTCCATCTGCGATGTTGCATTGAACTCTTTAATCCTGAAAATAGAATAATGTAGACAGAAAACAAATCCTTTGTCATTTCTAATTCAGTCATTGTATTTCTTCATTAATATTCATTTATGCCGATTGCTAGTCTAATCCCATCGATTATTCTCCTTTCAAGCCACGAAACACTCGAAGATATTTCCCGGTGTTGCATCGGAGAGTGACTTACAGAGATGGCGAACATCGAGAGAGAGAAAATCTCCGTCACTCAGTCAAATGGGATCAGACTCTGTCAAACACAAAGTAAGTCGATAGTATCAATCCATCGTTTTGTGTAAATTTGTTTGCTCTAGTGGCTACTGGAGCTTTTTTTAAATCCGCTTTGCCACTACGGCTGCCGCAGGTATTTTGAATCACTCGAGTGTAAAAAAGTATTAGTGAAAGCATTTCACAAATGCGCGTTGACCATAAGTTGATTGTAAAAGAACATTTTTCAGTAATTCATCCGAACAAAAACGGCTCAGGAGAAATATTTTTAATCTCTTAAATTATGGGTCCCGGATTTTTTTCCCCCCGAAGAAAATTCCCCCGGAAACAAATTCCCGGAATCATTTCCCCTTACGAATGTAAAAAACAATTACACAAACACACATTATCAACTTCCATTTTATTTATTGCATCCTTCAATCTTCGAAGACACGCCAGATGAGAATTCAACTTTTTCAATAGATCAATAATAAATAAATGATGTTACTCCAATAATAGTATATTTCGTAACGAGTGCAAAAAAGTGGTTTTTGGCGAGTGGGAGGTTTATATCACGAGCCGAAGGCGAGTGATATAATCCCACGAGCTAAAAAACATTTTTTCACGAGTTACGAACAATATTTTTCATCACAATGTGGCGGAAATTGGACTTTTAGGCACGCGGAGCGTGCCGAAAAGTTCACTTTTTGTCACAGCGTGATGAAAATGAATTTTCAACATTTTCGAACCAATTGCCTCAAAAAATGCAATCAATCTCTTGGGCCAATAATCAATGAATCTTCATTAATAAGTTAATTCGTAAAAAAAACATTGGCAACATTTAACAAAACATCATCTTATACTACCAAAACAATCCATTGAATAATTCCAACAATGAAATATGCTCAGGGGAAATTGTTCCAACTTGTTAATGTCTGAACAATGTATAATAATATCATGTTTAACTTGGAGGAGTAACGAGAATACTTTCCAACATTAACAACAAAGCTAAAAATTATAATATGTTTATTTTTCATTTTGACCGGAGATTTTAGTTTTCGGTGGTTTTCAGAGGAAAATATTCCGGGAAAATTTTTCCGGAAATTTTTTTCGGGGGGAAAAAATCCGGTCCCCGAAATGATTGAGTTGAGGCATTTTTATTTTAGTTATGAAAAAGTATGCGAAGATGTCGAGGAAAAATTGATTGAATAGTCCACACGAGTTCTGGAGCTTTGAAAGGAGTGGACAAAAATTTCATAACAATATCAATTTTTATCGATACACTTCAGTAGAAATCTTTTGATATTTGTGAGGCGTTCCTCAGCGGCAAGCATCCATGAAATATATCAAGGCCTTTTTCCAGTGAATAACATGGGTTGTGACACGATCTGAGTGCAAAAAATTTAACAATGTACAAGGCTCAGTGTGACACGATTGAAATTTTCCATCTGACAGCTCTAGAATGGATTATTACCTTCTGATTTCACAGTTGGACATAACAGCTTAGTGCAAAAGAGAAGAACATTCCGTGAAGAAAAGAGGGAAGGAGGTATGCGGGCCTCTATTGAAAATGGGGAGGGCAAATAAATTGGCACGGTAGGTGACGAAGGCTCCTGCAGGTGGCTCTCGGGTTGACTGTGACCCACTCACAGACACAAGATTTCCCGTGCATTAGCGTATTTGTTGATTCTGCCTTTAAATCCAATTTATCCGTTGATACTCTTGTTATGCTCTTGTTTTATTCCACTTTCTATCATTATTCTTCAATGAAATGAAAACAAGTTTGATAATAATGACGCGGATGAGTTCTTCGTTCACAAAAGGGCGAAAATTCCTTCAAATGCTCAATTAAAACTAATAAAATACATCTACTCTTATTTTCTCTTGATCTAAACAAATCACTAATACCATTCTAAAGTTCCCTCTCCACTGCGTCTGTGTCTGGGGACCCATTCTCGAGTCTGAGATGAACGGATTTGTGAACGGAAGTGGCTCCGTTCACGGAGGTCATTTTCAATTCGCACACTGATTCCCAAGTCGCGAACTTCGTAATAGATGTACCTCCGCAAATTACCCATTTGTTAACTTATTGTAAAACAAAGAATTGAACTATAATAAATAAATTTAAACAATTAATGTTTAATGTTTCGTTCCCTAGAAGAGGTTAACTGTATCCTCATACGAGTATACTCACGTGTGAATCGAAAACGACATCCGTCAACGAAATTGATTCACATGTGGATCTAGGATTCGTTTGAGAAAACTTTCGTTCCCCAACGCGATACGTGAACGGAGCCACTTCCGTTCACAAATCCGTTCACCTCAAACTCGAGAATAGGCCCCCGGTCGCTCGCAACTGCTGCGACCTCTACTATTTATTTGAAATTGTTGGTTTAGGCCTCATCCTTCTCTCTATTTTTCATGGAATATTCAGTTCTGCATTTTTGCATTCTTCACACGTGAATAATTGTGTCAGCTTGACGGCAAAATACCAAAAAGTATAGTTTATCGAATAAAATGGGCGTATCCCTCGAAAATGAATGGAGAGAAAAATTGACGAAAATGGGGATGAAAAAAAGCGTCGCTAGCATTTTGAGAAAAATGGTAAAATATTCATAGTGAGAAGTACTTTTTTCCGTTCAATGCACCGCTGATTGCATAGCGGCATTATTCGCTCCGAAAATTTTAACCGCATTTTCCGAGGGAAGACGCAATTCCGAGCTTTTTCTAGAGTTGGCAGAAGGCCTTTCTCTCACCCTCTTTATTTCATTTGTTAAAATGAACTGCCTTCCTGACACTTTGTCGTGACACAGTTTTCTCTACAGGATAACGGCTCTGCCAAGTACTTCCAGGGGGTGATGCATACGCCGAATATGGGGGAAAAAGTCGCCCAGGTGAGTAATTTCATTTTTTTAATTAATGATTAGTAAATCGTTTCATTCAATTCGGCAGTGTCATTCATTCACTTCATGTTTTTATAGGGGGATTGAAGTTTATGGTCGACTCTCAGTATAAGATACCCAGAAAAAAGAGTGATCAGAAGGGTCAAATGACCCTAGGGGTCAAAACTCCCTTTTGTGTTGTTAAAAAAATTTGGCTGAATTTTCCGGAAAAAGACCTTGAATTTAATTTAAGGATATCCAAAGATCTTTTACAGACTAGATTCAATCATTTTTAATCATCAAATTTGTCAATTAATTTGTGTGAAAAAATTTCGGAATAATCACAATTCAGCGTTATGAAGATTACATTTTGCACTAGTAAATGTGTTTCAACTATGTTTTAATCATGTTTTTTAACATTCGTTGTTTATAAATAAATAATTGAAACTTTTAAACTTTCGGAAAGCTTATTTTTTCAGAATGAATAAATTTGTTACGATTCCGAACAAATGATTTTTATGATGCAAAATTGAAAAATTCACATTTTCAAGTCATTTAATTAATCTTTTTCCGAATGTAAATTTGTTAAATCTTTTTCAAATTTTTAAAATGTTTTGTAACAGTTCAATATCGAGATTAAAATTCAGACTTGCAAAGTTTAAATAATAAAATCATTGTAAAATGTTTGATAACTTGGGGTCAAATGGAGCTCAAATGAAAGCTTCAACTACAAAAATAGAAAAGTATTTTGTTTGCAAAAAAAATGGCCCAGTTACTTGGATGCCCTGAAGGGGAAAAAGTCAATGGAATTTCAGGTTTCCCAGAAACAATTTATATGAATTTTCAAGTGAAAATGAATATTCACTGTTAAAATCCCTTGAACTGTCAGAGAATTTATTAAAAATTCTTGGAATTCCAAGAAATTTTCAAGGAATCCCCTCAATTTTTCTGATTTTCATTAATTTCTCTGAAATAATGAAATAATTGAATAATTGAACTGAAATATCAAATTCTCCGGATTTTCCCCTGAAATCACGAATGACAAAATTTTCTGAAATTCCCGTTCACATATTACTTCTTAGAAATTCCCCAGACCCTGACCGGAAATTTTACTACACACGGCGAGAAATATTCAATAAAAATTACGTATCTTTTTCGCAATTCCGGAGCAAAATGTGGTTGTAGGAAACTTTACGGAATTGTCACGTAATTTTTACCTGAAATCACGGAATTTTTCTGAAGTGAGTCAAGTGAGTCAAGCGAACTGTGAGTTCTGTAATTTTTACTGAACATTTCTCTCCGTGCAAAATTATCACCAGTTCGAAAAATATCTGGTTTCTCTTTTCCCCTGCAAAAAAAATTCTCCTCCCCCCAGGTGCCCCCACTGGAGATGAGCCAATTCACCGAATTCCGCTTCCCAACTCTCCCTCTGGTATCTTATATAAAGAGTCGACTGTATTTCCTCAAAAAAAAATGAAAATACGGGTGCACGGATGACTGATCGTGTGCCTATTTTTTCCGTTATTTCTCTGCGATCCGTCGCTGGAAATTCCGCCCCTTCTGTTCACCTTTTTTTGTGGTGGCGCGTGGGGTTGGGGAAGATGTTGTAGCGGGGAAAGGGGTGCGCAAGGGCCGGCGGCGTGAAGGGGGGNAAGGGGGGGGGGGGTATTTCATAGAAACTCCACCAGACAGCGTCTCAGTCAGTGTCGCATAGTCAACCGTAGCGCTCGGTGTTTCACGTTTGCAAGAACTTTTTTCAAACGAAAACGTGAAGAATTTTTTACCCCAAATTTTCGATTATTTTCCTCGACATACGCCGGATCAATTCCGTCTACCGAGTGTTTTTTTATTTCTCCAATATTTTTTTACTCCAATTAAAAACACGAGAAACTTTTACTCCTCGAACAGCCGTAATCAGTGACAATAAATAAAACATAAATTACAAACCATAAGTTCATCATTGAAATATTCGTCTCGTTGAGTTAACAAATTTTTAATCATTTTTTTTTTATAAAAGAAAATTGGTGAATTATAATTTTTTTAACGGGAAAAATAAGCGGTATAAGATTGCGTGTGCGATTGTACAAATATCAACAGTTGGAATTGAAATTATAAAATGTGTGTAGGAGAGGAATAATAATGAAAAACCTGACATACTCTGTGTTCCTTTGATGTCCGAATACAGTAGTAAAAGACACAACAGAAATTGCAGTCATTTCCTTCATCCCTTATATAAACAGCACTTTCATAGCGCCCCTTATCCTCCGGCTTATGTCAGAATCCCCCAGTTCCCTTCGTTTTTTCCACAATCTCTGGATTCACTTGAGTGTAATCCCTAGACTAAAGTGTTTGGTTTCTTGAACTCTCAAGGATTTCACGAGTACTTCGAATATGAAGGGGCGAATTATTGCAGTGGCAAAACAAGATGACTCGCAGTGAAGCTCAAACTGAAGTTATGAAGACCTTCCTGGATTTTCAATTAGTTGAAAAAAAATATTTTTAGGAACAAAGACCTTCTCGATGTGAAATAATTCATTATCCAGAGGAATTAACGCAGAAGTAAAAAGTCGTTCGGTAGCAGAACCTTAGACACTTTGACCGTGACCCGATAGACCCCTCGAATCGACCGATTTTCTTACTATGTCCGTTGGCTGAACATTCCTCAAAGGTATCGTGCTGTAACGGCTCCTCTACCCCTCACTCGAGAAATTACCCCCTGACCTCATGCACATTCATGATGGCTCATTATGATAAGGCACAATGACACTTCGTGCCGAATTACGATTGATATCACACGTATGAAAAAATGGTATAGAAATTTTCTGTACTGATTGCGTAGGGGAGGGTGGGGTAAACTGGACACTTTTGACTTGTTTTGAAAGGTTCATGACGTGTTGAATTGTTCATGAAATGGAATAATTTTATTTTTCAATATATAGAACAATGATTCCGCTTTGTGATGAGCGTACACTGAGCTCAATTGATAAATCTGTTTCTGAGTTATGAATATTTTGAAAAAAAAACAAAAGTGTCCATTTTACCCCATCCTCCCCTATAGAATTTCTACAGGATTTTCGTATATGATATTCGGATATTTCTGTACGGATATTTTTTATACAAATTATTTCTGTACGATTTATATAGGTTTGATCCGATACGACCCACTGCCACATGTACACTGCGAAAACTAATGTCTGAATTTCAGACACTTTTCAAACACTTTTGGGACAATTTTGTAGACACTTTTGAGACATTAAAATGTGTCTGAATCAATGGAGATATTTCAATTTCAGACACCAAGGTGTCTGAAATTCAGATGCAGACATCAGTTTCAGATACAAGCGGTGTTTGAAATTTTCAGACATCAGCTAGATTTTCAGACACTTTTAAAGATTTAGACGTTTTTTGCCATCTGCCATCTTAAGGATTGACGTAAGCATCTTTTTTACAAGAGTAAATTTTTTTATGGTCAAATGCCATGAAACTTTAGCAAAACGTTATTTGAACTATTATAAAATGATCGATCTATCGTNCATTAAAATGTGTCTGAATCAATGGAGATATTTCAATTTCAGACACCAAGGTGTCTGAAATTCAGATGCAGACATCAGTTTCAGATACAAGCGGTGTTTGAAATTTTCAGACATCAGCTAGATTTTCAGACACTTTTAAAGATTTAGACGTTTTTTGCCATCTGCCATCTTAAGGATTGACGTAAGCATCTTTTTTACAAGAGTAAATTTTTTTATGGTCAAATGCCATGAAACTTTAGCAAAACGTTATTTGAACTATTATAAAATGATCGATCTATCGTTCAGCTCTTCGTCATATTGTTAATATCGATTTTTTTGGTTTTTTAACTTTTATGTTTTAGTTGATATCGACAATATGACAAAGAGCTAAGCGATAGATCGATCATCTTATAATGGTTCAAATAACGTTTTGCCAAAGTTTCAGGGCATTTGACCATAAAAAAATTTACTCTTGTGAAAAACTCCCGCCAAAATTGCTTACGTCAATCCTTAAATTCAAATGGTTGTGACACCTAGTTTTTGCAGTGGATAAGTCAACTTTTCAGACATGAGAAATATCTTAAAAATTAATGTTTGAATGGACTTTGTCGTCTGAATCACGTGAAATATCTTAATAGTGAAATGTTTGAATCGCTCACACGGAGAGAAATATTCCATAAAAATTACGTATCTTTTCCGTAATTCCAGAGTGAAATGTGGTTGTAGAAAATTTTACGGAACTGTCACGGAATTTTTCTGGAGCGTTCCGTAATTTTTATCTGAATCTCTCGTGAAAAATTACGATACCGTCACTTAAATTTTCTGAGTCGATTCCGTAATCGGTGAGTGAAGTGAGAGTTCCGTAATTTTTACTGAACATTTCTCTCCATGTGCACAAATAACTGAATTTCAGACACAGAAAATATCTGAAATTTTTCAGACACAAAAAATGTCTACCATTATTTTCAGACAGAAATGGCGGTTAAAATTTTCAGACATTAGTCAGATTGTCAGACACTGTTGAAGATTCAGACCTTTTTTACCATCTGACATTTTAAATTCAGATAACTGTCAGACACCTGGTTTTTGTAGTGATATAGAAACATTTCGTATGGAGTTACGACATTTCTCGACGTTTTTCTCTGGAGCATTTAGACATCTTTTGTATGAAAACAAAAATTTATGTAAAAATTTATGTATAGAAATAATTCGTATGGAAAATATTCGTATAGAAATATCCGAATATCATATACGGGAATCCTATAGAATTTCTATACACAATCCATAGAGAAAATTTCTATACGATTTTTTCATATGCGCATTTCTGCGGTGAAATCGTTATTGCCTTTTGGATTTAATTTTATATAGGGTGATGATATACAGTTAAGTCTCTGTATAAGACACGGAGGGTGCCGGTCATTTTTCAATGGAAACAGTGGGTAAAAGTACACTTTTTAGAGATCGGTCTGTATGTGTGGATATGAGTGAGTATGTGACCAA